AACAGAGAATCATAGGACTGGTAGGGATCACGAGCAGTCTTCTAGTCCAGACACTCAAGGCAGGACAATGTACTATTCTACACAATCCCTGTCAGCTGTCTAACCCAGAGGTTTTCAAACTTTGGGTCATGGCTTTTAAGGGTAAGCTGCTGGCTGCGAGATGCATTGTTTGAGTGTCCACAGGTACAGCTGCTCACAGATCCCAGTGGCCGTGGTTCACCATTCCTGGATAACAGGAGCTGAAGGAAGTGGTGGCGGCCAAGTCTGCACCACTTCTAGCAGTTCCCACTGCCTGGGAATGGTGTATCACGGCTACTGGGACCTGCGAGCAGCCATGACTGCAGATGCTCAGGTAAACAAAGAGTCTTGCAGCCAGCCAGCAGCTTAACCTTACAAGCCGCAACCCAAAGTTTGAAAACTCCTGGTCTTAAAAACCTCCAGTGACAGAGATTCTACAACCTTCCTAGGCAATTTATTCCAGTGCTTAACCAAACTGACAGGAAGTGTTTAATAATGTCCAACCTAAACCTTCCTTGCTGCAGTTTAAGCCCCTTGCTTCCCATCCTAGTTTCAGGAGGCTAACTAGTACAATTTTTCTCCCCTCACTGAGTTATGGGCCTACTCTACATTAGAGATGATAGCTATCATGTAACTGAATATTTGTGTTAACTACATGAAATCTTATTTGTTACACATCTATTCAATAGTTTCCAGGGGTGGGGTCTGCAGCCAGTGCACTCTCAGCATGCCTCCCTCTTCCCTCACTCTGCTGCCTCTGTATCAGAGGCAGCAGCGCAGGGCAAAGGCAGGCGGCACCCTGAAGCTAGTGCTGGGGAAAACTGGCTTTTAAACCAGCTCCCCCGCCAGCATTAGATCCTGCTTCCCGCTTCCACCTCTGTAGGAGACAGCAGTGGGAGAGGCAGAAGTGGGTCGGCAAAGATGATAGGCATGGGTAGCAGGCTTGAAAGCTGGCTCCCTGCACTTATTGGCTCTAGCCTACTCCCCCTCACCTCACCCTCCGCACTACTGCCTCTTTATCAGAGGCAGCAGTGCTGAAGGGGGTGGGGGCAGGCAGATCCGATGCCTGTGGGGAGCCTAATTAAAGCTAGCTCCTCACAGACACTGGCTCCCGCTCCCCCGCCCCCACTCTTGCTGCCTCGGATACAAAGGCAGCAAGGGGAGGAGGGGAAAATGTGTGGTTGGCAAGATTAACCGATAAGCCTAGGCTTATCAGTTAACTGTATAGTCGACTACACGTTGACATCCCTACGCTACATTAATGCCATGAGCACATATCTAATTAAATATCAATTAATACATATATAGAATATTTGATGCTTATCTAACATTTTACAGTCAAAGGACTTTATAAACAATAACCTATCTATGGTAATTAAGAAACTGTCAGAGGAAGAAAAAAAATTAGCAGCATATCTAGGTTTATTAGAACTCAGGAAATCCTGAGCCCCAAACTGCACTGTTGTCCATATGCTGTCACACCAGTTATGTTTGTGATTTTGTCAGCTCTCTGTGTGCCGTTGGAAGTGTCATCATTCAAATAAGATTTAAAATTTAATACCTGACAGGTTGTTTATTTTAATGGCATTTTCCCCAGGAGCAGAGATGTGAACTTGTGTCCTAGCCAAAATCTAATTTAAATAATTATGTTATGCCTACCTAAAATATTCTCAATGTAGTTCTAAAAGGAGAGACTATTCATTTCTCCATCCAAAAAGGAGATAAGTAACAGTACAATCATCTTTGTTATGGACACAGAATGACTGCAGCATTCCACTTCAGTACTGAGAACATGATTTTATAATGTCTGTAAAGTACTCTGGGATCCTTCAAGTTGAAAGGCACTGTATAAACACGGATCAGTTGCAACACGTAACATCAGAAGAGACTGTGCAAATCATGGTACTTTCTCCCTAGTTCTTGACACCATTTAGCAAGGAGGTTAAATTTTGCCACTTATAGGAGTACCAAAAATAATGAACAACTTTTTATGTTTATGATAAGTAGGGTCATTTCGCCAGAACAAAAAATAGTAGATAGCAACTATGAGATATTACATCACTGCTTCTCACAGCTTGCCATATTTCCAAAAAAAAAAAAAAAGGGCAAGTGAACCCACCTTGTTGGAAACAAGATAATTATATAATACCTAAATATTAGAAGTGAAAAGAAGATATGCTCTCAGTGATGCTATCACATTTTGACTAAGCACAGTATTTGCACTGTAGTGAGCCTGAACATACAGTGATAACAGTGATTCCCCACCGCTTTCACATTTAATTCAAGTGGAAGCTCAGGGATATTTACTGCTTGCTTTGGTTATGTGCCATGCTCTAAATAGAGTCAATGGAAGCTAACTTTTTGACACACTGAGTATTCCTACACACGCTTCACTACTGGATGAACCTCTCTGCTCTAGCAACACCTACAGTCTGGCAAGACCATGGGTGTTGCTAGATCAGAGCCCCTGAACCAGATTGCCCCAGCCACAAAGACAGTGTGGCTTGGAGCAGAGCCAGTCTGGCAGGCCAGCAGCTCACAAGGCCAGGCAGCCAGGAACGGGGAGCCCAGCTGGAAACAGGGCCAGGCAGCTGGGAGCAGAGCCCTAGGAGCAGGACTTGGGGCAGCAAAGCCAGGCAGACAGGCCAGGTGCAGTGAAGGAGAACCTGAAGGCCTGAGTTCCTCTGGTCTGGCAAACTCCCTTGTTCAGAACTGCTCAGGTCCCAGAGGTGCTGGACCAGGGAGGTCCAACCTGTATTATGAAAATGTAATTTCATGGTGTCTTACACTGGTCACAAAGTAACCTTAGTGCCTCATCTGAAGCATGAGCAGAGGGAAGTATTTCATGCTACAACTACAGTTTGCACTATACGTTTTCAGCTCATAGTACTCAAATTAAATCTAACATGATGCAAGAGGATACACAAATCTCTCAGAACTAAGCAGAAAGTGAGCTTTTTATATATGCTTCAAGTTAATATTTTATGAATCATCAAGTTTCATGAAATAAGTTTATATTCCACTAGACTTCCCAAGAGATAAAAGCACCATATATTACTCAGATATTCTGTCAAAATACATCAACTGCTTCCCAGCCAGTAGGCAGGGCATGACAGCTTCATAGCCCTTCTGTAGCTAGAACAGGAGTGACAACATTTGGAAACCTTGAAGGAGTTGTGTCCAGTATATCCATGTAATCAAACAATCTAGTCAAGCTTCTGCTAATGTCCCAAACACCCTCAGTCTTATTCTGCTGCATACAGGATAAGAGGTCCTGATGTATGTCCACTTAATAGCTGCTCCCCTCCACACACTGGAACTCAAGGCAGTGATGCTGCCTTGCCTACTCTTTGGTTGTTCTTATGATAAAGGTAAAATTCACTCCTCGTTTTTTCTTCTGGGGGAGTGAGACTCAGCACCAAAATAACAGAAAGTTGAAGTTCTATACAAGAATGAATCCTGAGAGCACTTACCTCTTCCATAGGAGTCCTGCACTTGCTGTTGCTGCAGTTGCTCCTATGAAAGCTGCCATCATAAGTCTTTGCCTGCTTCTGGTGAGATGTGCCATTCCATGGTAACCTCGGGAAATAGCTCCTAGGCCTGCCACAGTGGCAAGTACTCGAAGGCGAAACATCCTAATCAAGTGAGGGAAATAAATTGCTACTGTTAAGTACTGCAGCAAGTGCCACATTACAAAAGCAATACAGTTTTTCATTACTTTCCCCTTCTTTCCTCCAAGCCCAAGAATTGCAAATCTCATCCTTATTCCAGTCCACCAATTTGCAAAGACCACCACTTTGCAAGACTGTCACTACAGCAAAGGAAAGACAAAGACTTCTTGAGAAACGGTCAATGACACACCTGAGTCAACCAAAGGAATCCCTGCAGTGCAACATGAGACACTTCCCTCCAACAAGTATTCACACTAAGGCAACAGACCTGTGGCTGACAAGGGACGTCAGCAACAGTCCCCCTGAATCAGTGTTGAAATTTGTTATTCTGTTGCTATTTAATATATGTATTACTGTAAAAGTGGCTCCTAGAGTCCTTGATCAGGATGAGGGTTCCATTACAATAGCCATGAAACCAACATCAGTGGAAACAATTTTAAATACTATACTGGAAATGGTGATTGAGAAACGTTTGTCCTTTCTACCCAATTTTATCAGTTCATGGAGATCCTTTGTTAGGAACCTTTTTCATCCACCCATCAGTCATTTTCAAAGAAAGAGAGGAGGCAGGCCTCTAAAAGCAGTCTCCAACTAGATACACCCTTCATTTTTAACAAACAAATGAAGCACACAAAATGAACATATTACCACAAATCTTCTGTGATAATTTGTTTTGAAACAAACTATCCCTTTCAGAGAGCTATGGCTACGTTACTTACTGAGTGGTTCTCTAACTGCAGTTACTACTAATTTGCACAAGGCCAGTTGACACAGTTTGCAATCACGATTCAGCCATCTATTTGACTCTCCTTACAGAACTGTTCACTCTAAGTTCTCCAAAACATTTAATATATTAAGAGAAAATATCTGTTCTTTTCTCTTCAACTACCATTATGTTACAGATGGAAATGGGCCGTAGAAGCAAGCACTATAAATTAACACAACACATTCTTCATAAGACACAATCTTAGACGGCAAGCTAAAAACTAACACAGTTTTAATTTCTTGAAAAAGCTAGAAGGCTCTGTGTTATATTTTAGAAATGACAGGGGAGAAGGGGTTACAGAGCTCAATCGTCAGACTCTGCTCTAAAACATTATACATCATCAAGTATGTCTTTTAAAACACAATGTGCGCTTACTTCACTGCCCTGAACAGAAATAGTTGTGCAGAGAAAAATGGAAAATTGAGCTACCCATCTAAATGTTATTAAAATAGTAAAATCAATAAACTTCAAAGGTTGCATCTGAGAACAAGACACCATCCACAGAAGAGAAGAGCAACAAAAATAGAAACATTTCAAATAAAAATGACTTCCACAGCGTGCAAGCTCAAAAAAGGCACGTCGGAATAAAAGTGTTGTGTTTAGAAAAATCCTTACTGATATAATTCACTCTTATAAAATCTCTCCTGATGGATTAATGTATCAAAGTTCAGAATATGAAAAGGCCTTTATCATATTTTCAGGGAGAAAACCTGTTGAGAAATTTATAATTTCTTAAAACAATTTCATTTTTTCTCCTTAGCTTTTAACATTCTCTACCATTTTTCACAAATGTTTATTGACCCACTCAAGATCAAGACAAAGTGAGAGGAGCTCACAGAAGTCAGTACAAAATGGCACCTGCAGATCCAATTAGCGCAGGGGTGAGCAAAAGGGCCTCTGAGCCAGATCCGGCCTGCCAAGTGGGTTGATCTGGCCTGCAGCAGTCCTGCCATTCCCCTACCACCAGGCTAAACAGGGCCTAGGGATGGGGGAGCACACGGCACTTAGAGTCAATCCTGTTGGTTGACTCTAAGCACCACTTGCCAGAAGGCTGGGAGCAAGAGCACATATAGGGAACTTGGCAGGGGGTGGTACGGAGACTTCACGTGCTCCCCCACCCACAGACCAATCAGGTTCCCCATTCTGCCAGAGGCCCCGCCCCTTCCAAGGTGGCCCAAAAATTTCTGAAGTGGCCCCCGGTCAAAAATTATTGCCCACTCCTTAATTAGTGTTTTACAATACAAGCAGCAATACAGTGCTATAGGCCAGCACTGCAGCTTTTCTAAATTGTAAGCTTCTAATAATGAAAACATTAGGACTAGTTTGCAGAAACAAATCTTTGTGTTGTGAGACAGACCCAGATTAGCTGGCTGCCACACACTGATGGAGGAAGCTGGGGCTTGTGTGAACTGCTCTCTTTTCCCTGAAAAAAGGAAAGCCCAATACCTAACTACAGCATAGTCAGGCAGGCACCTGGGGTCAATTAGAGCTTGCTAGAAGCTACAGGCTGATTAGACACCTGAAGCCAATTTAGGCCTGTGGTGCCACTTTAACAGGGCTTCCCCCAGGCAAGAAACAGGGAAGGAAAAGAATGAAGGACAGCACGGAAGAAGTGCTGTGTGGGTATAGGACTGACAAACAGGTACCAAAAGAAAGGTATTGGGAGGGATAGCTTGGGGGCGTGGTCCAGGGAGAAGCTACCAAATTCAGAGTGGCAGTAACCCTGCCTGTTGCCATGGCCTTAGGGTCCCTGAGCTGGAACCCAGAGTAGTGGGCAGGCCGGGTTCCCTCCAACATCTCAACCTCTGCCTTTAGAAGGGAGATCAGAACTCCAGAGGGGATTTTACCCCAAACTTATCAACTAGCTTGTGATAAGTATGGCTCAGTAGGCTGTGGTTCCTGCCTCTAGTAAAAAGAAAAAGGCAGCGTAGAGGGCCACAGAGAGCCTCTGAAGCCAACACTATCCACCAATAATGCAGGACCCACAGGGAATAGCTGGAGCTTTGTTTATGTTTTCTAACTGTGGCGCGCGCGCACGCACACACACACACACACACACACGTCCCAAAAGCCGGAGTTAGTTTAAATGTATTTATTTTTCCTCTCAAATTACCATAGTATATAGTTATGGATATTGAGATGTCAACTGCTGGTATCAATTTAGGAGGGAAAGCAATATATTGTTCTTAAACACTTACATAAAACCATAACTACGCAAGGCATTTTTCCAGTGTAAAAATATATAATTCCTGCCTAAATAGTTTAGTCTGAAATCAGACAAACATGAAACAACAAAAGGAGAGCGATGAGGGTTAGTAAAAATAATGAACAAATCATGTCACTTCTGATTCTTTCAAACAGAGTGAGGTGTGGCAAGAGAGGAGGAATAGGCAGCACTGGTGTAGAAACCAAGGACAGAGTAGATTTTCATAAAGAGAAGATTTGAGGGAGCAGCATAGAATAAAGGAGGCCATTCCAGCTGTATGGAGCAGTGTTAAGAGAAACCATGCAGATTACAGTAGACCATGGAAGCCCAGGGAACGAGAGGAGAAGACAAAGCTTTAGAAGAAGAGATATAAAATGAAGTCATGGGCAAGACTGCCCAGACTTTTGAAAAGGAGCATGAGGCATTTCAACTTTATATGTAAAGAGTCAGCCTTCAACAGATGTGTGATAAAGACAGCTTTGGATTAATGGATTCTTTGTAGACTGAAACGAGGAATATTGTGGCACCACAGGACTCGTCTAGACTATGCTGAATTTTCGAAAGAATATGCAAATTCTGCAAGAATTTGCATAGCTTCTTCTGATCTCATTTTCGAAAGAGGAGCTTTTGAAAGTGAAAGTAGTCGGGACTTTTTTTTGGCAACCCCCCCTTTTTTGAAAAGCTGCGTAAACCTCAGGGGGGGGGGTTGCCCAAAAAAAAAACAAAAAACCTGTGTCCCACTACTTTCACTTTTGAAAGTGAGATCAGAAGAATCCTCTTTCAGATCCTCTTTCGAAACTTCAGCATATTCTAGACATAGCCTTAAAGACTAACAATTTTATTTGGGCATAAGCTTTCATGGGCTGGACCTCGCTGCGTCAGATGAATCAAGTGAAAACTGAAGTTTAATAGATATACAGAGATGGGTGTGTGACATTATTATGTGGAACCATTTATGTAACATGATCTTAAAAGGTATATGCAAGACAAATGCCAGTCAGACGTGCAGACAAAGGTTTTCAAACTATTGATATCAAACATCAGATTTGAAGGCAACTTCATTGGGAAATCAAGCAGTGAGATTCATCTGTGATTTCCTCATCTTAGGTCACAGATCTGCAACAAGGTGGCTCAAGATACAAAGGTTATTCTAATTATCCCCTAAATTTCAGATTTATGGGCAACTTCGATAACATTTAGTATTTCCTCTAACCATTGAATCTGAATAGTTATTTTATGTTCATCTATAAACACCAGCCAGAAAGTAAACTATTTTGGCATTAATGTTGTTTTATATATTCCTTTTTAAAAAGAACCTTTAAATTGATAATAAAAACCTCAGTGAAATACTGTATGCAACAATGGCTATCAGGTATCATTCCACAAATCTTTCACATGCACTGCATAAAGAAGAATGGCCTTCATTTCAGATTCAAACTGATTCCATCCCACACATTTAAATTCCTACTTTCTCTTGGGAACTGTTGCCATTACATATGCAAACTCAGAGAAGTTATACAAGTGCTATTTTTTTCTAAAAAATTAGTAACAAGTTAAAAAGTCATCCACCATTTTTCTGTCCCCTGATTTAGGTCTCTCTCCCTCATTCCAACTGTATAAGACAGAACTGTGAAAAAGCAGGCACCAGATAGTCACTTTTTTCACTATCATTACAAAATGATCTTAAGCCTTCCATCAAGAAAGTTTGGGGAGAAATGAGAAGGAAGCCTTATGTTAATGTACCATTATGGCTGCAATTCTGCAATGCCTAAATTTTTCAGAACTATCCCACTTGCATACAGTAATCTGTTACTGATAAACTGTTATGTTTATACAAAAGAGCATAGTATAAATTTGCCTGACAGCATCAGCTAGATGCTAAACCAAAACACTTCCCACATTAACTCAGTTTCAGATACATCTACCTTTTTAAAAATTGCTCCTTTGGGACTCAAGTTTTACATCCCTATTCTGTAATACAAATCAACATAGG